ACTTGGACTCTCCTATTTATACGCAATACAATGGTGAATACATGGCATTTGATGCCGTAATACAGAATTTCTTAAATAATCTTTGGAAATGCAATCTAGAGCCAATCTTTGTTTTTGATGGAATTCGCGAGGTAGGTTTTCTTATGAGGAATTCACTTTGCTTTGCAAGGCAATTACTAATGATTTTGGGCATAAAATTGGGCACGTTTACATTAAATTGGTTTGAATTAAAGTCGAGATGTATCTTTGCCCTAGTTACTAGTGCTACGAACATTGGTATCTTTCAATGTGTATGGTATTTTCGTATTTTTTTGAGGTTCCAAAATCGTCTACCGTTCTAAGGCGAAGCTGCGATCGTCTAATTACATTATCCCACCTACAACAGGAAGCTACAAGACATGCAGCTGGTGATGGTACCTCAGCTGCATTTCGAGTCGACATACAGCCTCACCTTGCCGCCTTGACATTCCACTTAACTCTGGATCGGCTGGGGGCGCGTCAGGTTGTTGTCGATTTCGAGGCCGATCAATTGGCCGCTGCTCTCGCTATCTACCTCGGTGCGCCATTGGTCTCCAATGACTCAGACTTCTTCATTTTTGCTCCCTACTGGGCTAACTGCGGTGGACTCACCTTCGTACCCACTGACCTCTGCAATTTCCAGACCCCACGCGCCTACGAGGGTGGCTTCTACATTGAAGCACAGCAGTTCTTAGGAAGAGAAGGCCCCACCTTCCGCAAACTGGCCCCCATCCAAATGCCTCTCTTCGCCACTCTCTGTGGCAATGACTATACACCACCAGGTTATTTCAACCTTCACCTCCCTGGATCCGCACCCCAACAGCCTTACGTGAGACCCACTGCCCAAGCTGCCTCCGTTTCAGCCGTGGCTTCGCGCAATGCCATTAAGTTTGGTCGGCTCGTGGATTGGTTGTCGGGATTTGGAGATGATATTGTCGAGCCTGTGGAGCGAATCCTGTCTAGTTATCCGATATCAAAGAGACCTGAGGCTGCTCACTACTTGCACGCTGGTCTTGCAGCCTACCACGTTCCACTGGAGCAACTGTCGCCTTATTTGAAATTCCTGTTTGGTGAAACGCCGCCTCCCACTCGGGTGTCGCAGACACTACCGACTACTCGAAACCTCACCCGTGAGAGTTACGGTCTGAAAGCTCAGCGAATTCTGGTTGAAGGCGTTGGTGGTCCAGACTATCTTGCGTCGTGGTCTGCTAGACTAATACAGGCCTTCCGCCGAGCGCGAATATTGACGCACGCTTGTGACGCACTGTACGCCTATGGAATCGTCTGCAACGCAGTTGTTGAGGACTTTCAAAGGCGAGAGCCCTTCCACTTGTGCACCCTTCCCCTTCGTCGCCTACATGTTGGGCTCCTTCTGGACGCTTGTTCCACAGATGGACGACGCTTACCCGGTGTGCATGGTCCTCCCCAGCGCCTCTTTTACGATGAGTATCGACGTGCCGGATGCACGAGTTTGGAGAAGTACCGAGTGAGCTTTGAGCGCGTCTCCCTCCATGAATGCACGGGATTTGAATTCCTACAACGGCATCTCTGTCTCCCTCCCTGTCCACCAATCATCCCCGCATGGCTTCACGGTCTGGCTTGCGTCCTGTTTCTCTGGGCGCGATTCAATGCTCGCCCAGAGTCGGTCAATCTCGTCTCCTCACCGATCGCGCTGGCAGTGTGCGTGTGTGCGGTGGCAGCGCACATGCGTCTCCTGCAGCACTCCGAGGGTGGAGCTGTGGAGGTGCGCACTGCCATTGTGCGTGATTTTAGATCTTACTGTCGATCGAGAGGGGAGAAGGAGCCTCTGCGATTCTGTTATCTTCACGCGATTGCCCAGTTGCAATCCGTGTTGCTGCATCTAACAGGTCTAGTTTGGCTTATTGACGCGTTGGTTCCCGAGGGTGAGAATTTCAAGTGTGGCATGGAGATGCTTCCACCTCAAGTGATGTTTCCATCGGGATGTCTGGCGCACCACATCGCGTGTCGGCTTTCCTCCCTCCCTCCGGACAAACGACTGTCATTGGTTCTCACCTATTGGCTGCCTCGTCTGCTTGGTGGCGTGGAGGCTGGCTTTGTGAAAAAGGTGAGCCCTGTCATCCTGTGCTAATGGCATTGTGTTCTGCAGAATGTGTGCCAGTTAGAATAATTGGAATAGGTGACTTTAGTGTGCGCAACCTGTTTTGTTCTTGCAAAAGTTGTCTTTTTTTCCAATACCCGCATGATGTGCAACGTAGCCATTTGGGGCTCCGTTTGCGATGTGAATGCGGTTTGTTTTCACTTTTATTGCATGAACTGAGATTGTATAGGCGACTGTGGTGCACAAAATGCTTCTCAGTGCAATAAACTCGAGTGTACATGTGCTGTCCCCTTAAACGCCTTGTTTTGCTAGGAATGGAGGACGTTGCTAATTGACATTGTGTGTGTGTGTGTGTGAAAGGCGCTTTGGTTCTGGTAAATAGTTAGGAGTATGCGGCGAAGGTGCTATGAATGGAGTAGCTGTTCCGTTATTGGGACCACTTGTGAAATGGTGATGGGCAACTAAACGATGTGAGAAAATGATGAGCACTCGGTGTTTGCGTGGTGTTTTTATCGCGTCGCTTCTTGAAGGAAGCATTTTGGGGCGCTTAATTTCTTTTCACCACAATCGAATGCCTCATTTCTTTGTGGAGGAGATGAGGATGAGGAAGGAGAGGTAGGGAATGGAGAGACGTTTGTAGCTGTTTCTGTGTGCATCCAGTGGTTGCATTTTATGTGGGTAGGTTGTATTAATTGTGTCTCAAGTCGGAAGTGGACACGTATGCGCCTCTTATCCTCAGGTGTGCTCGATGTTCTCGGGGCTGATGAATTTCGTGGACAATTTGTTGGCGGCTGCACCACCAGCTGAATTTCGAGCATACCGACGCGGACCAGAGAATGTGAGTTCGCCACCGCCGACCTCCTCTGCCGTTACTCACAGCAATCCCTGGAGGCGCAAGCCGACAAGAAATGACCTGGAGAATTTGGTGATGCGGGATATGCACAATGTCGGATTGGAGGACTCCTGATCCCACCC